CCCCAAAACCCCAAAACCCCAAAACCCCATGATTATGATAGAGCATTTATTGATTGAAATCAAATTAAAGATTAAAAAAATAACTAAAGCTTTCCAATCATTTATAATAGAGAGTACTGCTAGATGAATTTTTTTAATGGTTATTTTGAATTAATCCCCTAGCAGAATCTTATGCATCAGAATAAACAGATATGTTATGGCTATCCTATCCTCTAATTTCCATACTGCTATTATATCGATGATGATATTTTGGCTTCTAATCATTAATTTAGGATGGATTAATTGATAAGAAATTGTTGTCTTATTAAGATTAGGTATCCTCAAAATAATTGTTCATGTTTTTGGCTCTATAGAGATCATTAGCCAAGTTTGGCTAGTATTAGTGAGATTATGAGAAATTATTATTTTATTCTTAATGGTAGTGAAGCTAGCTAAAAACAGGTCTAGTATAATTATCTAAAGAAGACAACGCCTCATTCCTATAACCTAGCAAAAGTCTGCTGCTTTAGATGATATTCTGTTGAATTTAACCATCTTTGCCGTATTCAAATAAATCATTCATTGACCTTCTATGTCCTCTTGGTTGAACTCTTTACTTGAATTACTATTCATCGATATGTTGAGCTTCTTTTTTACTAATGTTTTAGTTTTAATTTGAATTTGAAAAGCTAATATCTACTTCAGCTTTTTCTAGATCTTCCACAGTTACCTAGTAATGTTCATTCTCCTCGTTAATTATAGTCAAATCTATTTATCTTTTTTTCGTTGAAGCTATTATGTTTCCAATCGTTATCTAATCCTAGTTAAGTGGATCATTTGTATTGAAGTTATTAATATTTATTGAAATGGCTAGTCTTTTTCTTTTATAGCAAAGCCTAATTCTTAATTATTAAAAGATTTCGAAAATTATGATAATAATGTTTATGAGTATGTTTGCCAAGAAAATTCCAATAAATACGTAGCTGAATTGATGTTTCGTATTACTATCTTGAATGAAGTCAGAATAAATTAGCATTAGATAATTGAGTATTAAAGTAGTGATCTCATTGAATACTTCAACATCTAAGGTCCCTATGATGGGCTTAGTGCTTATTAAGTAAATTAAGTAAATTAGATTAATTATCATAAAGATTTAGATTTAAGCGGCCAAATAGTTTTCAAGCATGAAAACAGTTAAGATAAAGATCAATCGTCTAGTAATGAAAATCGAGTAATAAAAGCATCCGAAATAAGTAGATTTCTTGTCTAAATTTTATGTCAAATCACTGATGTACGTAAATTTATTTTTGTTTTGATAATCAAAGGTATTCCAAATTAAATATATAGGTAAAATCAAATTTATTCCGACCAAAACAAAAGCATAAAAACTAGATAAACAAATTGAAATATATTCTCCTTACTATTATTGATTGTCGAAATAGATCTTATTTAATATTATGGAGAATCCTGCCTCAAGACAGCATTCTATGAAATATCTTGTGAAAACATTGAAAAATAAAATAGATTTCAAGTAATCACTGATCTTAATTCCGCTAAAAAGGTAAATCTAAAGGATAATGATAATTACAATTTAGTTTTAGTTTAATGAACCACAAGATATAGGAATAAAAGCAAAATGTAGAGAAATATCAAAACGAATTCAGAGCCAATCAAGTAAATAAAATTAGAACTTTCATAGCCTAAATAATCAAATCTTTAATTGTATGCTTCATAACCCTCTCGATCTTTTAACTGAAATATAAATTTAAGCAAAATTTCTGAATCAAAAGCATCGAATGTTGCCACTGCAAATAATGCTTTGAGAAATACTAAAATTTCAAAAGTATAAGGTATCTTGAATAAAGGTGTGTGAGATATAAGCTGAAGAGAGTTTATTAATCCCCAAATAAATTGAAGACTAGTACCAAATAAAATACTAGAGGCAATTCCACTGTAAAGTAAGCTTGTAATCATTAATGAGACTACTTTATTTATCTATGCTAATCCATCATCATCTTAATCTAAGACTTGCAATTATACAGACTTTGAGAATGATAAATTTTTACTAACTTTAAATTTCACCTCCAAAAAATCAGGGTCCTAGAAAATAGAGACTTTGCTATCATCATAGTAATCAAGTAAAATCTTTATAGTACCATTCTTCAGTTCAATAAAATTCCAAGACTTTAGATTTCTCGTAGTTTCATCTCTCTCTTTAATTTCTAGATATTTTTCGATATTTGTGGAATTAATCCCTTTTAAGTCAAGGTCACCTCCTACATCTATAGTCAATGTGGGTTCTCTGTTGTTTGAGTTAACTTTTACCAAATTTTCTGTCAAATTATAAAATCCATTATAATTATTATTTTGTTGATGTTCAGTATCCTCATTTTACTTTTCACCGTCTATTGGATTTTTCCTATATTCTTAAGTTCGCTTTACTTTTAATGTCATTAGATATTCAGATTTAAGAGAACCGAGAATATTATCATCCTAAAGCACAAGAATAATTTTATGTTCCCCTATATCTAAAAATTCTGGTCTCAAAGTTAATCTTTTCTTGCTATATTAAAGGAACCTAGGTGTTTCATCTTTCAACTATAATCTTAAGCTTAAGATGACATAGTCCTCAATATTTTTATCCTTAATTGTGGGTAAATCATAGTGAAGTTATGAACCCGCTTCAATTATTAGTGTTTTACTTAGATCAGATTCAAAATAAGGTGGTATATTTAGTTCTATGGGGTTTGAAAATATTAAATCGAATTCGTAACTGTTTTGATACAAATTATTTAAATTCCCAGTCAATTTTATTCTATATGTCCCTACAGTATTCGGGTCTGTTGATTAGACAAGAAATTTTCCACCTCCTGCAGCTAATGTTTAGAATTATACATAACTTGGTAGTGGGTTTAGATCAGTTAGAGAAGCTGTATATTAAAATTAGAGCGCTTCTTTACAGGCTACTGAGTATGTGAATTAATCAAATATAAACTCTCTTTAAGGATATCCTATTGTGTAAATTTGATTTTGAAGTTAATTGTAATTTATAATTCCAATATTTTGGTAGCTATCGCATTAGGTAGGTAGCGTTTATTCATTCAGACTTTTCAATGAACTCTAAGTAAATGTGTGTTAGTGCTTTTAGAAATCAAGATTCTCTGTAGCTTCAAATACAATTAGAAATGACTCAGAATAAAACTTCCCAAGTAAAAATAAAGTTTAAATGTTAGCAGTAAGAGTCGAGGTTTACTCAGGTTAAGTAATGCACGAGGGACCTTGAGGAGCTTTCATTACAAATCCTATTTTATAGGTATAAGTTTGAGAATTCATTTAATTCATGGAGCCTGAGAAGAAAAATTATCCATTTGAACTATCAATATACCCATTCTTAGTTTGAACTTGATTTTAAGTGGTAGCTAATTTTATGATAGTTATTTATATTGCAGTAGATGCTGAAGAAATTTAAACCTTTCCATATTATTACTAACTATTAAAACTATCATGAATTATAAAATGGCCAAATGTGGAATCTACTTTAACATCAATGCATTCTATAAAAGTAGTAGACGTAAAGTACCAAGTCTATTGCAATGCAATGATATCACCAATTGTTTATTTCGAGTATAGAAAAGCAAAATCATTCTCTGAAATTCCAAGTGATTAAGCACAGCTGAAAGAATTAACTGTACTTGATTCATACAATTGAATCTATTTTATCTATTTTGAAGCAGATGAGCCTTAGGAATAAACAAAGTATGCATATTTGACAACCCCTGTATCTATATCTAGTTTTAGCAATGAAAGGTATCCATTTACGTTTCCAGACACATATGAAAAACTAAAATCATTAGAATAAGCTGTTGAGCTTGTTAGGAATTTAATGAAATTTCCATCTCCTAATCTGTTGAAATAAGTTGGAGTAAAATTACTCAAGCTTGAATCATATTGGAATCAAGAAAAGTACAAAAAATCTGTCTTCGCAACAGTAAGATATATAGTATTAGTAGATGTAATTTTGGCATTTATCGCTTCTCAGTTATAAATTATACTTTCATCACTTGGATCATGAATGAAGTATTTGTTCAGTAGACCTCCTGTTTGAAAATCGAATATTAATACTGAAAACTAGGGTAACGATGAAAGTCCAATTATATAATTCTTCTAAGTTTCTTATATGTCACAGAAATCGATAGATGTAGGATTCAGTTGTAAATCTCCTTGAATTTAGTTATGCCATTTAACTATTCCGCTTGAGAGATCAAGTCTCAGTAGTATTGGACTTGGCAAGATATCTACAATATCTATTGATTAAGAGTACCCACCGAGTATTAATGTATTACTTGCACTATCTATTGAGAGGCAATTAAATATTGAATCACCAGAAGTACCTCCTAATATTTATGGGTAAGCATCAGTTGGTATTTTAGAAAAACATATATTGTCATCCTCTATCATTAATTCTCTAACCTAATTACTTATCACATAGTCAGCACTAATTGCAATGATGAAGAAAATAAATGAGAACATTCTCAAGTAAATACTAAAATTTATCAATAATAATAAGGTGGCAGATCAATTTATTAATAACTTAATACTTATTTTCCTCTTAATATGCTTTTTTTAATGTATTCTCTTGATTATTCTTTGATGGGGTTTTGGGGTTTTGGGG